TTCTTAAAGATAAAATTGTCCAATTATGTTTCTATGATTCTTGGCTAGCAATTGTGCTGCCTAAGAATCACATTGCACATACCTCTACATCTACCATAATAGACCTCCGTACAACCCCGCACATACAAGTGAGAATTGGTTTTCAATTTTTTGTTTTGTTCATAAACAATAAACTAAGGACATGCATGTCTAGATTTGATTTTTAGTGAGCAAGGGTTTAGATTAATTGAGAATGATCCTAGGGTAGATAATCATTCGAATTTGGATATAACTTGAGCCACATTATGTCTAGTTGAAGAGGATATAGGGAAAAAAGAAGGATTTTCTAGGTTTACGTTTTCTAGGTTTATAGAACCCTTTTTAGACCATAATAGTTTGGTCTAAGTCTTGGGTATATTTGCAAGTCATTTCTAGGTCCTAAACAAGCAATGAAGTTTTGTCATTGCCATTGTTGTTTGGGTTCTTACAAACGGAAGAAATGCAATAACGATAACCATTCAAAGCACTGGTTTTTAGTCCTTATCCTCATTCATGCTCATCGGGTATTACATTTATCCCTTTTATATTATATTTATTAGCTTATTCTAATATTGTGCTTTTAAAATTTCAAAAACCAAAAAAAAAATATTGAAAAATGGCAGCGACATTATCACTATCACGTGGAGTGTTAAGTGCTTAAATCCTTAGGGTGCTTGTCAATGAATGAGGAGGAATAATTTGGCTGAGAGTAATAGAAATAGAGGTTCGTTGAGAATGGTTTTGGGTGAGGAAGGAGAAGAATAAGAGAAAAGAAAAAAATACATTCATACTAGGGAAAGAAGAAGAAAAAGAAGAAAGGAAAGAAAAGAAAAGAAAAAGGAAAAGGAAAAGAAGAGGGCTAAGGGAGAGGAGAAAAGATCAAAAAAAAAAAAAAAAAGGTCGGGCCTAGCCCAGCTCAAAGGGAGAGAAAACAAGGCTAGCTTGTTTAGTGGGCTTGGCCCAATAGGTCGAAAGCCCAATAGGCCCAATAACCTTCATTTTTTCGGGTTTTATCTTAACTAGTTCCTAGGTCAATCAAACCTAAAATTTTGATGCATGCTTCATGTTTTTATTTCTAGCTTAGATATTTTTTTTATTTTTGAAGTTCTTTTACTTATTTATTTTAATTTATTAAGTTTTATGCCTAGTCATTAATTTCTTTTACTATTTAAATGTCAATTTAGCCTAGTCTTTAATATTAATTAAATCTAAAATTATGGTGGTAGATTTTAAACTTATGTGTATGTATGAGTGTGTTTGGGTTTTTATCTTTTAGATTTTGTTAATTTAATTTTAGATTCATTTTAATGTTGAAGAATATTGCTTAAATAACCAATAGTTAAATTAGGTAATTAATAGATAGACGAATTGTTGAGTCTTTTGATATTTAGAAACTCATGATGACTCTCCACCAACATTGAAAAAAATATTAAAAAAATAAAAATGATAAGAAAAATGATAAGAACAATAACATAAAAAAACAAAAAAAAGAAGAAGAAAAGGAAAAAAAATGATATAGAGAAATGTTTGATGAATTTTAACAAGTCTCATATCTAATAAGGACTGATATTGTTAACTAAGTCAAATCCATCACCTTAGTAATTAGGTTATTCTTCGACATACCAGTTATATCGAAACTTAAACTAAATTCGATGTTGAATTGATGAGACTCTCGATGACGGAGTTTGACGATCTATTCAATATGATATCACAAAAAAAAAAATTAATTTAGCTTAGGTAATAAATTTGGAAATTAACTTAGAAATAATTTGGCAAAAATAGAAATTTTTGGAGATAAAATTTTAGGATTAAACTAGACGTGGTACTTTTTCTTAGAAAGAGTGTCTTTGAGTGATCGATATCTTTCCAAAGACATAACGAACTCCTTACCTTAAAATCTCTCAACCAAGTGTCATTTTTAGGTTTTTCTAGTTTTCTTTAATACTAAGCGACAACTCCAAAACCTATTTTTAATTCTTTTCCCTTAACTTATAATTTTTATAATTTTTTAAAGTCTCCTAAATATTAGGTAGCAACAATAGTAAAAGGTGATCCTCCATCAATGTCTTACATAGGAGATAATTAGAGGAAGTGAGTTTTATTATACCCGAACCTTCCTTCTCTATTTTAATTGCACAAGGAAATAATCAATCAACACAAACTGAACAAGGCTTTGATACCACTTTGTTGGAAAAAAAAACACATGTCCGAACCAAAATTACAAACCACGAGTTCAAAAAATTTTCCTTCTTTATTCAATCAAAAGTATGATCAACCAAATAGTAATAATCAATGTGGAATAAATAAATACAACAAGAAGCAACACACCAATTTTATGTGAAAACCCCGATGTTGAAAAAAACTATAGGATCGTAGTTCACTCAAAACTTCCACTATATTAAATAATAAGATACACTATTCTTTTCTAATTCAACTAGAAGATACATTTCAAAATATCAAAATGATCATCATTAAGATGGTTTTCAACTATAACAACAACAAAAAAAAGATTATATCTTACCGAATGGGTTTTAAGAAGATATCCAAAAGTAAAAGTTTTTCAACGATCGAGTACCATTTACGTTGAAGAACTCAACATTGAAAACAACATATTAAAATTTCATTTTAATTGGATTTGAAATCATTGTCCGATTAAAGTTTCAAAGATAAAAGTATCTTTCTCTTTCTCTCAACCACTTTTTTTTTTTTTTTACGTCGCAATTCTATTTATCTATCAACATGTGTGTAACCTTGCATATGAAAGTCCAAATAAACTTTTACTAGTTTTATGCTCGTAATACAAGTATAGCTTAGATAAAATATATGAAATCATTAAAAAAATTATTTTAGTTTGATAGTTTGTGTAATAGTGTAAATGTGTAAAAATATATAAAATCAAAAGTTAAAAAAAAATTATTTATAATTTTTTAATCAAAATTTTGTATCTAACTATTTCTTATTTGTGTTTTTCATAATTTCTTTATTGGAAAAAGGATTTATTTTTGTTAATCCTTAGATTATTAACTAAAAAGAAAATTAAATAAAAAATTTAAAAAAGCTTTAGTATTTCATAAGATTTTATATAAAAAAAATAAATCAAAACTCGTTAGTAAATATAATTTTAAATTAATTGAATGAGAATTAAAAAATAATAATAATAAATTAAAGTACTAAATTTTAAATAATAAAAATAATTAACAAAAAATACTAAAATAAAATGAAACCAAATCACAATACAATTGAAGTTTGAAATCCAAAATATATATATATATATATATATATATTAAGAATTAAAGTATTACAATAATATCATAAATATCAAAAATAATAGTGATTTGTGAATATGTGAATAGTGTTATGAATGGTAAAAATTCATTTTGTTTGTGCTTTTTATAATATGGTGACCATCTTTTTCTTTTTGCTTTTCTGTTTTTTTTTTTTTTTTTTTACATGGGTTTTGTGCCCATTGAGGAGAGACCGGATCCATACAGGAGTCACACTGGTGAAGCCATCTCATTTGCATGGTTCCTCGTTGGAAGTCAATGAAAATCAAAATTCGCCAAACACATGGAATACAGGTTAGAAAAGAGAAACAGATGGAATTATTTTCTTATGTAATCAAAAATCTATCAACCTTTTGGTTGCTAAGTAAAGGAAGTATTTTTACTTTCTACAGTGATGTTATTCCCACTCTTCTCGATTCTAAATCTCACACTCCACGATTATTTTATCCTCCTTATAATATAACTGTTTTTTTTTTTTTTATATATATCATTCATTATATTAGTGGATATGAATTGATCAAATTCAGAAAATAGAGAATGAATCGTGTAAATGGAAGGAAATTTCATTTCTGTGGCTAGAAATTCCATTCATGCTTGTCCCTGTTTGCATATAATGACAGTTTTATGAGATTATTTGGATTTTGAGGTTTGATATATACTCTCTATATATGTAATCATTCCATCTTCTTTTAATACGTGGAAATCTTTCATTCTTTTTTCACCTGTAAAATTTCTATATTTTTCCCATTCTTGTTTTTGATATCTATTACAATATTCTTCAAAAAAAGATCTTATAGGAACCAATCTTGAAACAGGAATGATTTTTTTTTTTCCAAGAAATCTGGTACAAAACAAAACAATTTCTGGAAAAAAAACTAGGTAGCTTTTCTTAGAGTCTCTGTCGTGACTCCTTTTTCATTGTTTAATTTTTCCTTCTTCAGGGTCTCTGTCTTGACTCCTTGGAGTCGTGTACGCCTCACCACTATACAATGCCATTTTTTCCAATATTTCTTAAACATTCATGCAAATGAAGACATTCTTATTATCTCGATTAGTGGGGTCAACAAATCATGGCCAAACTACCGTTCATGATTGATATTTTCGGCTTCTGTCAGCGTTCACAATACTTAGCACTTCGTCGGAACTCTTTTCTTAGTTTCATCGGTCATGGAATATATATTGATTTCCAGGGCAATTCTTGTAAATATCCTCCTCTAAACTGACCATTAATTTATATAAAAAATAATACAACCGCATCTATAGGTTTTTTTTTTTTTTTGTCCATTAGGATTTGATATAATAAAGTAGGAAATAAATCAGCTTAACCAATACGTCAAGATAATAATAAACAAAGAAAATAGGTTATAATTGATGGAGTTTAGATCCTAAAATTACTATAAAAAGAACATAATTGATGTATTAAAGCGTATGAAAATTATTGTGGGATGTCTTGTGGTCGAATCATATTATGACTTTTTTCTGCAAAAAAGGAAATGACATGTTTAGGTTCAATTAGTAGGATTCCTTGTATGTTTATGCTGTGAAAGAGGTGATATCCATTTTTAGTCTTTTTCTTTTTTTAAAAAAAAAAAAAACTGTGTGAACAATTCGGACACCTAACTGCTGCTTGTTGCAGTATTTAAATACCCTTAGACTTTCCATTTCCATGTCAAGGCAGCTATTATACCTCTCAACACTATGACTCGCAAGTCTAAACCTGGCTCATCATCTTCTCCAAAACCCACATCAAGAAAGACCTCATGGCCTTTCTTTACTATTCTTCTAATAGTTGTTGCTCCTGTCTTAGTAGCTACACTCGTTTACCAACTTGACTCGTTTGAACCAGCTCACTTGCCAATCCACGAGCTGACACAACCACCATTGAAGGCTTCGAAGAAGAATGACCACATGCTTCAAGGTTCAGAGATTTTGGGTAGAGGGCAGTTGAAGGGAGCAGAAGATATTGCGTACGATAGGAAGTCAGGGATAATTTACACGACTTGTGAAGATGGCTGGATCAAACGAGTCACGGTCAATGACTCAGTTTCTGACTCGGTTATTGAGAACTGGGTCAACACCGGTGGCAGGCCTCTCGGGCTCGTCCTTGGACACAATAATGAAGTTTTTGTTGCCGATGCTTACAAGGTTAGTAAATTACTTAAATCAGACGTACTAGTAATTAATTGCTAGAATTAGGTAGGCATTTGCTTCATTTTCATGGGGGCTCACTTGGGAAAAGCAACAAAATAAAATAAAATAACATCATAATTGGTTCTGGTGATGCTTGGGTGCCGTCTATTTTATTCATAATACATGGAAGTAAGAATTTTCTTTTCTTTCTTTTTAAAATGTAGAACAGGTATTTGTATGGCTCGAAAAAAACAAAACAAAACAAAATGCTGCCGCCTGATTTTGTTTTACTCTTTCTTAGATTAGAAGAAGATATGATAAATCAACCCTTCAAATAGTAAATTTACAAATATAAGCCTAGATATCAAAAACTTTGTTCTGCTATGTCCAAAATTGATTCAAACAAAGCTTGATATATAATTGAGAAAAAAAAAACTTAATCCCTGTCTTTTTAGTGAAATGATTAATTAATCCTTTTGGTTAAAAAAATTAATAATTAATTCCTGTACTTTTATAGTATTTGCTTTTGTAATTCCAACTTTTTCTTAATTAGTTTTTCAATATTCAAGGCAATTTTTTTCTGAAACATCCTTCATTTTTACTCAAATTTTCAATCTCACCCACTACAAACTAAACTATCAAGCTTTTTTTTTTTTTGTTGGGGGGGGGGGGGGGGGGGGGGGGGGGGTTGGTTTGCATCTGAAAAACTACAAAGCATTTAGAAAGGAGAATTTGGAAATTTAATTAAGAGTCAACACTATCTAAGTAAGTAACTTAAAGGACTAACCTACAAAATGATATAAACAGGGACAAAATTATACTAAAAATATAAGAGTTACATCAATTGGCCTCCAAAGGTCGTTGATGCAAATCTAGATTTTTTTTTAGAGTAAATTATAAATTAGTCCTTTTGTTTTTGTTTTTAACAAATTAAATAGTTTTTTTTCAGTTTCAAAAACTAATTAATTAATCTCTATATTTTTACATCTATTTATAACTTAACTTTTTTAAATTTATTTTTCATTTTAAAAAAAGAAAAAAATAAGTTAAAAAATCAATTAAAAAAGAAGAAATTCCTATTAAATTAATCATGGTCCAGAATGGTTAAAGAACTAATTAATTAATTTTTAAAATAAAAAAACCTATGTAATATTAACAAACTAATTAATTAATTAATTTTTATCTTGTAAGTGCTTATCACTTCCTTGCTTGTCATCATCTTAAGAAAACATTATCAAATTCCAAAGGTCTTGTTTTGATGTGGAAAAAGGAAGTGAGGTAGGATACGCCTTGTGGTGTTTTTTTTATCTTGTTACATGTGGTTGAATATGAAGGGAAAAAAATAAAAAGGTAAGCTTATTTAACTAGGCATGAAATTGACCTTAGACAACGGAGGACCCAAAAATAAAAAATAAAAAAATGAATACATAGTCTAAAGATAAATGACATGAGGTGCAGATCTAGGATCATAGCCCTCTAAAGATTCAAAAGGTCTCTTAATTTTAAGGGATATCTCAAAACTTCTTTTTGTATTTTTATAAGTAATAATTCCTTTGGATTTGTGTATTGTGAATAATTTTTTATTCAAGTATTTTCATCCGTCCCTCAGTCAAATTTCTGGCTCCACAATTGCAAGACACAAAGTTACACAATTGATGTGATCGAGAAGATGGCTCCATCTGTTTAAAGTAGATGTTAAAAAAGAAAAACGAGAAGAAGAATAAATAAATAAATAGATTTGCAAATAATATTTTAATAGCCATCACATGGACTTGCTAATACAAAATTGTCTAAGAAATCAATTTTATCTTCAATCGGAGAAAAAAAAAAAAAAAAAAGAAAGAGGAGAAAAATAAAATCACTATTCTCTAACCACATGGTTTTATTTATTATCAAATGTTATGGATCGATCACAGGGGCTACTGAAGATAAGTGGTGAGGGTGAAGTGGAGCTACTAACGGATGAGGCTGATGGTATAAAGTTCAAACTCACAGATGGCGTAGATATAGCAGATGATGGCACCATTTATTTTACAGATGCTTCTTATACGTATCATCTTCATGAATTCATTTGGGACATCTTGGAGGGTAAGCCCCATGGAAGGTTATTGAGCTATAATCCAACAACCAAAGAGACCGAAGCTTTGGCCCGTGATCTCTACTTTCCTAATGGAATTGCAGTCTCACCAGATCAAGATTTTGTGGCCTTCTGTGAAACCCCCATGTATGTAGCAAATCAACTTCCATTCTTGCCAACTTAAGCTGGATTTTGATCTGTTTGAACTGGCTATTTCAGGAGGAGTTGTAGAAGGTATTACATACAAGGAGAGAAAAAAGGGCACCTAGAGAAGTTTATTGACCATTTGCCTGGCATGCCCGATAACATTCATTATGACGGCCATGGCCATTACTATATAGCATTAGCCTCGGTAATTTTATGCTTACTTCCAACTTCACGTCAATCAAGCATCCACTTGGAATGAAAATTTGCAATTTAAACTGTTGTTGACGCAATTAATTAATCTTGCTGCAAACATACAACAGGAAACTACAGCTTTTTGGGAGCTAGCATTTAAGTATCCTTTTCTTCGAAAGCTTATAGGAATCTTTACGAAGTACGTAGGGGAGGTTCATGCCGCCAAGTGCAGTGGTGTTTTTGTCGTAGACTTGGACGGAAAACCAGCTGAGCATTACTATGATCCAGGATTGGCACTGCTTTCGAGTGGGGTGAAGATTGGAAATCATATATATTGTGGTTCCATCGTCTATCCCTACATTATCCGTGTCGACATCGAAAAGCATCCTGCACGAGCTGCTGCATGAGCCATACGGCTATACCCTACTATGATCACGGTTTGTAGTAATTTTGGTTGAAATGATCTTCAAGGTCAATCCAAATGCTTGAAAGTTTCGCAAAATAATCATCGCTGTATTTATTTGATGAAATTAATGTTGCGAACATTGTGTATGGAATTGCTGTACTGTTTGCTGTTTTAAAAGGGACTTCGAATATTACAAGTTGTTTTGCACTTCTGACCTAAAGAGGCTACCCAATGCCTTTGCTTTCTCCCTCAGAATAAACTTCTGCACCTTCCCAGTGGAGGTTCTCGGCAAATCCTCAAAAATGACAGTTTTGGGAGCCATATAATGTGGCAAATTATTCCTGCAAAACTGAATTATATCTTGAGCATCGACATCAAATCCCTCTTTTAACTTCACAAATGCACAAGGGGTTTGTCCCCAAATGTCATCTGGCCGCCCGACAACTGCAACCTCGAGAACTGCTGGATGACTATACAAAACTCTTTCTACTTCAACTGTGCATACATTCTCTCCGCCGGTAATTACGATATCCTTTGCACGGTCCTTCACCTCAATATATCCATCAGAATGTTTCACAGCAAGATCCCCACTTCTAAACCAACCGCCTCTAAAAGCATCCTCAGTTGCTTTCGAGTCTTTCAGATAGCCACTCATTACAGTGTTTCCTCTGAACATGATCTCTCCTATCGTTTTACCATCTGCCGGCACACTTTCCATGGTGACGGGATCCCTTATGTCAACATCTTCCAATCCAAGATGCCGCACCCCCTGTCGGGATTTCAACTTCGATCTCTCATCAAGAGGCAGTGAATCCCATTCTGGTTTCCACAAGCAATAAGTCCCTGGACCATAAGTTTCTGTAAGGCCATACAAATGAGATACACCAAAACCTAACTCTTCCATCTTGAGAAAGATTTGAGGGGGTGGTGGTGAACCCCCTGTCATAATTTCCACTTTATGAGGAAGCAGCTTTTGTTCGCTCACTGCTGAATTCACAATCATGCTCAAGACAGTCGGTGCTCCTCCCATGTGTGTCACCTTGTGCAGATCAATGCAGTCAAAAATGTCTTTCGGGGAGACTTTTCTCAGGCATATGTTAGTACCACCCTGTGCTGCCATACCCCAGGTGAGGCACCATCCATTGCAGTGAAACATGGGCACAGTCCAAAGGTAAACAGGCATCGTACCAATGCAGTGAAGGAAAACCGTCGCAAGGGTGTTGAGATATGCTCCCCTGTGACTATAAACAACTCCTTTGGGCCTTGATGTTGTGCCAGAAGTATAATTTACACTGATAGGATCCCATTCACTCTCCGGTCGCCTAATCTCAAATCCAGTGCGTCCATTTGCCAAAAGACTATCGTACTCATAACTGCTTGAACTGAAGCCAGTGGGAGAAGAACCATCAGATTCAGAAATCAAAACTACCATGGGCGTTTTTGTTCCTGTCTTTGCTAGAAGATCAAGTGCTCCTCTAGCGATATCAAGTAACTGGTAGTCCACAAAAATAATCTTTGCCTCAGAATGTTTCAGTAGGATAGACACCATATTCGAGTCATGGCGGATATTAAGAGCACAAAGAACTGCTCCAGCCATTGGAACTGCAAAATGCAGCTCATACATTGCTGGAACGTTAGGAGCCAGAGTAGCAACCTGCTTATATTTAGTCTCAAACATCAAAATACAATTCGATAATGACTTGGTAAGGTAAACATATTGATTCAACCAGTAATACATTCAAAAGAAAGAAATTCACTCCCAAGTGTATGCAGAATTACAATGCAAAACAGAACATCTCAAGCTGACAAGATTGAAAGTAATATCCTTTTTTCCCCCCATTTTCCAGATTAATGATGAATAAACTAAGAGAAGTCCACCCAAACAAACAGACATAATAATGCTAATCTCATGGTTTGTCTAACTCAATCAAACGCACATGCTTGACGCTACTTTCCAATTATTTCCAAAGAATTCCAAAATGGAAAAAAAAAATAAGAGCTATTGATCCATGCCAAAAAAAATCAGTGAAACCATGTCAAAACAAAAGCAATTAGAATTTCAATAAGAACCCAAAAATTATTACTCCCTAGAAATCAAGAAAGTATCATTACCATTCTAACACACAAGATCAAATTTACTCTCAATGGAAAGGTACTCAAAAAAAAAAAGAAGTTGAATCCTTGTAGATTCAAGTACTGGTTTGACCTGATGCAGCCTATGCTAAGCGGTGTACAAATCCCCTTACTGGTAATTAAAATATCCAAAGAACAGACTTACCACATCACCCCGAGAAATTCCCAACTGGCATAAAGCAGAAGCAAGTTTGAGGCAACGTTGATGGGTTTCAGCCCAAGTAAACTTTAAAGAACCATAAACCACCGAAGTTCTGTCCCTATAAACTGTAGCTGATCGCTCCAAGAAGCTTATAGGAGACAAAGGAACATAATTTGCCTTGCAACGTACAAGACCCTCCATTGATTTCCATGACTCTGGTTCAATAAGATCACTGGCAAAGCTTGAGAATAATACTACACGAGAACTTTGAGTTAAATTTGAGCTGATGAATCTGTTGAAAATGGAAGTCAGGCGAGGTAAGTGTTTTGGGTTCTTGAAGAAGTGGCTCATTTTGGACTTTCCAAGAAACTAAAGTACAAATTAATGTATTTGTTCGAGAGATTGTTATGGAAGGGAGTGTTGCCATGTTTTTAGTTGGCCAAATTTCAAATAAGTCTTTGAATAACTTAGAATTCTAAGAACCACATAAATTATTGATTAATCATGAAATTTAATTAACCTTATGTTCCATTCTAACTTTTAGTTTCATGAGTAGCCGTACCATTAAACCTCAAATAAGTTTCCAACTATATAAAAATTTTCAATAATTCTTAACATGTGAGTTGACATATGTTTGATAAGTATCCATATTTTATCATGTTAAGGGTCAAAGGAATGTTAGAATAAAGTTTAACCAAAAGGATAACATCTAATATATATATATATATATATATATATATATATATATTGTGAATAACTTAATTAATATTAACGCAATTGAAAAGGAATTTAGTTGGATGCGAGAAAGTTGATTAAAGACATCATGAAGGAGAAAATAATAAACAAGGTGATAGACACGTTGAGAAACGGGTGGAAGAGAGGAGTAGATTGAGAATTTTAAACAGCTTGAAGTTAGAATGATAGACATCATGTATATCCAGGATTGGAGTTTATGGATATGAACAAGAACAGCCGAGTCTAGTTGCTGTGTGGTGTGGGCCAGTTCCCGTCAACCGTAGTTTCGTCAGGCACGCAGGAGGAATTTGATTGTACCAGATTTGGTGGCCAATCGTTTAATTCTATCCATCGATCGTCCTCAACTCAGCTTCCGTACTTCACCTTCTCTGTATAATTTGACTCAATTCATGTATGTTCCTTTTTTGGGCCCAAAAACGAACAAATAGTGCGTAATCATAAAGAAAAACTGTCTCATATTTATGGTTGTTAATGGATATCCATATATAACGTTTCTAAAATATTTATATTTAGATAATAAAAACTCATATATATATATATATATATATGATGCTTGGTCAGTAAAAAAGGCTTAACATCTTCTCATTATTTGTGTTGTTGTTGTCATCACCTATATCCGATGATGCTTGGTCAGTGCGGCACCAATTCAAGCCTTTATCTAACACAATCAAGTGCACATGCTTATAGATATAGGCACAAGGAGTCTGGTATTTACAATACTATATTTCCAGCCATAATTTTCCTCCCTAGTTTGAAACTAAGTTGTACTAAAACCAAGTCATGTCAATCCTGGATAGATAATGGTCCATCCGGTTTTTATTAGAGCAATCTTTGTGCGCGTTCAATGAATCACAAGCATTAAAAATTCACAAAACATTTAGAAAGCAGGACTTCAACCCAAAATGTCCAAAACTAAATCTTGATCACTTATGCATGTTAGCCCTTTGGAGATTGTCAACTAAGCTTGCTTGATGCTACTTCTTTACTATTACCAGTCAATTTTGAAATGAAAATGGGAAAAAAAATGTCATTGAGAAAAAGAGATGCAAAAAAAAAATGAAAATTTTAAGAGGCACCCAAAAATTTATTACTAGAAGTCTATGTAATAAGGAAAATATATATCATACAATTTCTAAGATAAAAGAATAAATTTAATTTCAAACGCAATGCTGCAAAAAGAAGACCAACTTATCACAAGATCACCATGAGAAATTCCCTACTGGGATGAAGCGAAGCAAGTTAATTTGAGTCAATGTTGATGAGTTTCGATCAATACCGTAGACTCTAAAGAACCACAAACTCGTAATATACATGATCTAAAATCCTCCTAGAATACAAATGTATTGTAAATATACTTTATTTAATTAATAAAAGTATATTTATTAAATATATGCAATAAAGTTTAAAGTTTAAATAAGAATAAAGTAAGCACAATTATGATTGAAAGGAAATATCAATGGAACGAGGGAATGCTTGAATTAGATACCGGTATCATTAACCGATATGGGTATGTTTTAACCTAGGGACACAACTTGTAAAACCTAGGAGCATGATCATGAAAATTAAAAGTTTGGGTGCTCAATTAAAATAATTAAAGAAATTTAAATTACCACTTTGTAATTTGGAAATACCAAGATTAAGGGCTTATTTATGGAAAATTAAAAGTTTAAGAATTGAAAATGAAGGATTTGAAGGACCTAAATTAAGCAATTAAAGTTTTAGGGACTAAAGTGTAAAATAATGACACTTTAGGGGACTTAATAAATTGACTTTGAGAGACTAATTCCAGCAAGATAATTCTGGAAAAATGAAGAGAAAAAGAAAAGAGCAAAGTCGATGAAGAAAGAAGAGAGGAAGAGAAAAATCTAAGGAAAAAGGAGGAAGGAAAGAGAAAAATCAAGAAAAATCTAGAAAAACCATTAATAGTCAACCTTAAGATTAATCCAAGTGTGACACACTTGGCTTAATCC